CTGTTGTGACCTTTTATATATGATTTGAAGTTTGACTAGTGTAAATTTTGACGAGGATAGAGAAATCGTCAATATAGTCAAAATTAGCACATCGTCAAAATTTCCACGATTACAGTAAATATTAAAGCCTTACCCTTGGCAGCATAATAGTTATGAGGTAGGTTAAAGTGGACAAAAGACAGAGAAACAGATAGACAGGACAAAAAATATCCCCGTGGATCTTCCGATTCCGTGGCATAAAAACTTGGAATGTGAATTCTTTTAACTGCAGGCAAGATAAAGTTATTCTTAACCAAGTAAGATATGTCCCGTAAGAACACGTGCGTTTTTCTTCCAGGATTATTGTTGTTTTTATCCTTATCACTTGAACGCCTGGACCAATTAAATGCATTATTATAATGGGCTCAAGGTAACTCATTGTGGAAAGCAGGGTTTATGTGTCTTGTTGTGATTCTTTAAGTCAACTAACTAGGGTATATAAAATGTACTTGGTCTTTGTCAATAGCATTCTTTTTTACTTGCCATTATACAAGCATAAAAATGGTTTTATTATTAAATATAGGTTATACAGAATAGAGTTGATGACAAGGTCACTTTCAACAGAAGTTGGCAAGACTATAAGACTGGGTTTGGAGATGTGTTAAGGAGCCACTGGATAGGTAAGTAACATGTTTCCTGAAATAATCTTAATAATGATTTTAAAATGAGAATAAATACAGTCTGATCTGAGCTTATTTTCATTAAACATATTTTCAGAAAATCATTCAGATTAAGAGTTCATTTGAATTTTTAAAAACTGTATATACAGAGATTGAAATGCTATTTACATTTAAGTGAGAGCTGACATTTATTTCTGTTTGTAAAAAAAAAATCAAATTTGTAACAGGGAATGACGTCATATATCAGCTAACAGGGGATGCTTCCATATAAATATGAGCAATTATAGCTTTGCTATTCTTGAAAAGAATATTTTAAAAGAATTTTACTAAATATTTCTATATAAAAATTTGGTCGGCCATTGTGGCCCCGCCCTACCCCCGGGGGACATGATTTGAACAAACTTAAATCTACACTACCTGAGGATGATTCCCCATAAGTTTCATCTTTCCTGGCACAGTGGTTCTTGAGAAGAAGATTTTTAAAACATACCACCAAATTTTCACTAATTCTCAATTATCTCCCCTTGAATGAGGGTGTGGCCCTTTATTTGAACAAACTTGAATCCCCTTTACCCAAGGATACTTTGTGGCAAGTTTGGTTGAAATTGGCCCAGCGGTTCTTGAGAAGAAGTGGAAAATGTGAAAAGTTTACAGACAGACAGACAGATGGACAGACAAACGGACAGACAAACGGACAGACGGACGCCGGACAAATTGTGATTAGAAAAGCTCACTTGAGCCTTCGGCTCAGGTGAGCTAAAAACGCTTCATTAAAACTGCGGTAAAACTGGTTAAGAACCCCAAAGAAATATTCACTGAAATATGTGAAATTTAGAGCAAACAATGTCTCTTTTATAGACACATGAACAGGTGGATTTCAATGAACAAAAATGATATAATGGGTATCAAAAATGGCGGCCGTCGTTGACAAAAAGAACTTACAACAACCAATCCACTGTTTGCCAAAATTCAACACCTTTTCGCAGATGATTCTTGATTGACTTTACAAGACACATAGCAAAATTGATAGACATCATTTGGGGGGGGGGGGGTTAGTTTACACTGTTTAAAGACACATTTGATAGTAAAAAAGTTTAGTACTCAGTGGCCACCTTATGTTTTGAAAAATGAGGGAAAACGACAGCGTGTAAGAATATCTAATCAAATATTTTTAAAAATCAAAATTTGTACTTATCCAGGTTTGTTTGAAATTCAAACAAATAATGAAACTTGAAACTATTCCTTTAAACCCTAAAACAATTTTACAATAAGATGCAACTGACAAAACAGACAAGAAGAGCAAAGAATTGCAAAAGCAGAAAAACAATTTTATATGCAATTTTTAAAAAATATAAGTGGTCTTATTGTTCAAATTCTTATTCGGGGAGGCTGTAAAATTTCTGAAGAAGTCTAGAAAGGAAATTTTTGCAAAAAAATCGAAAGATTTATGAGAGGATGTAATCAGAACCAGGAATCCACTACATTAAATTCATTCATGACAGCGTCCAAACCAAATGGCCATGAAGAGAAAAGGAGTTTTGGGGATAAACAGAAAGTCAATGTTTTGTCACACCAACAATGTTCACCAGATCTTTCACCTTTTGACTTCATTTTCCAAACTTGAAAAAAAAACACCTTTCAGAAATACGAAACAAGTCAATGAAATCATAGGATCTGCCATGTTTCAGTATAAGAGTCATACTCAAAAATGTGTTCTAAAACAATCAAAAATTGGATAAAAATATAAAGGACATGTGATTCAACCATAAGAGAATATTTAAGTGAAATCATTAAGACTAAATCTGAAAAGCCTTTTTTGATTCTTTCCGAGCACCGAGGGCATTATCTATTGAACATCCCTCATTTTAATTGACAGTCTGTTCATTTTCAGACTAATGTACCCTTTTTGGTAGGTGGGGTGTTAGGATTTAGGTCAGACCATTTCCGCCGTTTCAGTGGAAATTTTAATGCTTTTGGGGGTTAGGGTGGAGAGGATGATAATAAGACACTGAGGTGAAAACGCATGGGAAAATATTAAGCATAGAAAATAATCATTTTTATATCACTGAATACAGGGTTCTTTATTTTCGACTCATCTTATTTTCGCCTCTTTACACCTGCAAACAATTTGGACCTATTTTGACTACGCTCAGCTAGCTCTCTGTGTAAGGGATAATACCATTTTCGCTTAATTCATCCCGTATTAAATTGGCCGACTTGGGATGAGGGCGAAGAGGCCGAATATAAAACGGGAGCAAAAACGTCTTTGAATACACTACATACATTATAATTCGACATCAAATATCATTCATTTTAGTTAAAATATACGAGGGGTGATCAAAAAGTTCGCGAACTATCTCTATGTCTACAAAACCACAATTCAAATTAGAAAAAAAAATTGACACACACATAGCCATACACAAGTTCTATAAATAGCATATGCTGAATAAAGTTTTGCTCCTTGTTTGTGACGTCACAATGTGAAAATGACGTCACTATGTAGGTCACTTGTAACAATGGTTGTCTCAGTCGTACTCATTAAACAAACGACTGTAAAATTGATGGTATATCTTAGAAATTCCTTTGCAGTAGCGTATAATTATTTGTACACAGTATATCAAGACAAAAGTCTTCCTATAAATTCAATCGATGATCGGATTGATCGTTTAAGTGAAGGAAGGCAGATGGTTAAAAATGATACTTGTTATGTTGCCCAGTGAAAGCAAGTTTGAAAAGAGATGTGTTTTAATTAAGCAATTTGCTATCAAAGAACTCCAATTTACACTTTGAAGAATAGTTGAATATTTTAACAATAATATAATCATTAAATACATAAGATATCGTTTACTCTACATTTTAAACATATCAGATATGATAAAAAAAGGAGGCACTCATTCGCTATCCAGCTTGAATAAACGTCTCTCCCAAGACAGAAGATTTGAGTTTTGATGGTCGCCATGCTTATTTTTGGAGAGGATATTCTCGAAAGCGGTGCCCAAACATGCCAGCCAAGAGCGCCGAAGTGTGTTGACGACGTTCCAGTAGCAGTGGAAAAGCGAAAATGTGGGTTTACAATGCTTTCAAACTTATTGAAAATAGCAATGTTTATGCATTATAGATACAAAAGTTTCAAATTACTTTAGGTAGCTTCATTCTATGGCGGCCTATTCGGGTTAAAAAATGGAATATTTCTGAAACGTCATAGAACATGTAGAAATTATTTGATTCTAAACTACAGGCTTGGGTTCATAAAAACAAAGTCATATAGACAAAATAATAATTTTACATTTTTTGAACAATGATTTTACCAGTAATTATAATCTACTTTTTTCTAAATTTTTTTTTCTTCAGGTAAGTCTTGTTGTCACAAGAATCACAAATGAAGAACTTTAGAAGAGAACAGGGTTTTAGAACCATTAAAATCAGATGGAGAAAACCATTCCAATCAGATTGAGAAGGTGGAACTGGATTTGACTAATCCCAGGAAAGCCACCATCCAACACCACACCAGGACCCAATTCGGAACCGGCATGGCAAGAGAAATAGAGGACATTCCAACAAACTATTATGAAGTTTTATTTGTTAAATGATTCGTTTTATTCATAAAAAGCTTTCCTTAACAAAATTCAATTATTAACTGAAATTAGCACACTAATTTTGAATATTTGGTGAATGAAAACACATACTTTGAAGCCTAAATGCCTTAATTTATTTTCATTAAATGCTGAAAAAGGAGTAGGGGTCGGGATATAAAAAATATCAAAACTTTCTTATATGTACACTAACCCCTACTTTTCTTGCTATGAAAAGGAACCATAATACTTAAAGAAAATGTACTGCAATTTTCTGAAAAAGTTTAATTGTAGAAATATGTTTTTCTCTGGTTTTTCGAAAAATTTTATAGGGAAAAATTTGCTTAAAACTGACACCGGTGAACACTATTTTGGGGTACAAGTTATCTAATTAGGTATTTATTTGCTCATATTTTGCTTAGAAAATCAACTTTGCAATACTTTCAAGTAAATTTCAGCCAAATTAAGTTTTGATTGATTGTATTTATAAATTTATGAGGTATTTTATGGTCTAATAGCTTTTTCAATGAAATTTTCCATGCTCTATTTTGGCCTATGTTCGAGGGGATGAATCTCTCTTAATGAACACTAACACACACTTTTCTTAATTGTCTTTAAATTATTCCTTGGATATTACACTTTCAGAAAAATATAAGCATGTGGAAAGTTTAATGCACGTTTTTTTCTGCGTATCAGCAGAATACATCCTTAAAGAGGACCAATGAAAAAAAAACTTCCTGTCCTTGTTTCATTTAACGTTTGAGCGTCTCAAGTAGTAAATTATGTAAAATACACTTGTGGGGACACTTGCCTGCTAATACACGATGGCGTTCCTCTGGAAATTTGTGTTTTTAGCCATTTTCTCTGGTTTTAATTCTCAACCTTTGCTATTCAATTGTGAAAAAGAACCCGACAAATGCGAATCAAAAGGTTATTTTTACAGAGACAATAATCAGCTCAAGAGTCTCGTGAGAGGACAAGACGAAATTCTCAAGGAGATGAGTCGATTTGGAAACATTTTAGAGGAAATTAGGAATCGGATTTCTTTACTTGAGAGAACCGGTAAATAATTGTTTTCATATATGCTCTAGTTTAATTATATGTTTTGAAATTTATGAAGAAAACAATATTTGGTCTAGCTTTTAATGAATCGTTTCAATTCCACGGCAGCTCCGTGAACAATAAAATGTTAAGATGCATAGGACTGTCTAGAGTCAATTGCAATTCTGTAGCATGTGCTAATTAAGTATGAGGTTTTACGTCATCATATATCCCTCAATTATTTAATTTGTGGTAGCATCTTTGAAATTGTCGTCAAAATATATAGGAAGAACATTCAAAGCTTTTTCAGACATGCTTCATTATACATCATGGAAAATGCAAGAAATGAATCAATACTGTAAAAATGTCAATAGTCCAGAACCTACAAACAAAAATTTTAAAAATTATACTATTCGGTCGATTATGGTAAAGATTACCTATTATTGTTCATTTTGTTGTGGTTACTATCAAATGTATCATGATATCGGTGTTTTGTTTATGAATAGTGAAAATTACTGCACTTTCAATGCCCTTTTTCATAATACTGAAAAACACATAGAATTGTTTGTTGATGTTGAACATTACTGATATCTACTGCAGATCTATAATTCTTTTGTAGACAATTCTGATGTTAGATAAATAATGAAGGATTCGAATTAGAAAATTCAAAATCTATTTAATGGATTTTTAGACAAAAATAACGGAAACTAACATACTTGCAGCAATACTTGTTTTCTTTAACTATTGAAAACTAATGAAAAGCTACACCATATGAAGTTAAACATAGTATCGTTACCTCGTCAGAAGATGAGGGTAAAAAAAATTACACATTTCAATTGCTTACTGAATTGTTGAAGAGTATCAAGTATGCATTTTAAAGTTTCAATAATGAAAATGTAGTGAAGCGGCTACGAAAAACGGTTTTAAGATCAAGTTTACCAATTATATACACAAAACTAAAGTTACAAGATGTAAAGTATGAAAAGCCAAAACTAAAGATAGAAAAGCAAAAATAAAAACCAATTACAAATTCTAAAATTGGAAATGCCAAGATTTAAATTGGAGAAGCCAACTTTAAAATGGGAAACATTAATTTTGAAAAAAATATTACATGGCTTATCATAACCTCACTATTGATATACAATATACAATACATATGTACTTAACGAAGAGTTGCTTTTACTCTTTTACAATTCTGTTGTCTTCTTTGAGTTAGTCCCGTCTTAAATCCACAAAAATTGTCTAGGGCGAAAGGAACAAAAATAAAGCGATGGTGAAAATTTTCCTGTATACAGTTTTATTAGTTACTTATTGATTCTTAACTAAAAGGTTACAATTGCTAGTTTTCATTTGTTATTTGTAAATGAAATAAACAAAGAAATATGGCTATTGAAAAAACGAAGAAAAACGCCATCAATTTGTAAATCAAAAAGTAAAATGAAGTTTTCTACATTCCATGTATCATAATTTATTTTTTTTCTCATACATGTACTTTTTATTATATCTTCCTTTTCATATCAAACTACCACCTATCTATTTTATTTCCTTCCACGACGTAAATAAAGATTTCATTTCGGATTTTTTTTTTTCAATTTCCGCTTCCGTTTAAATTTGTCATCTTCATTAACACTCTTCTATCATTTTTCTTACATGTCATTTCTTAATTTTCGGAAGGCAGACTTTAAAGTTGATAGAGATTTTACTATTCAGCCTTAGGTTTTCCGTTTGAGAATTTTAGTGAGCTAAGCTTTTAAAATCAATCCTATTTTACGATGATAAATAAAAAGTCATTGAAGTGAATTTAGGATGAAAATCTCTCAAAACTGAATTATTTTTAAGTGTCCTATCTACTACAAATTATGCAGAATGCTAATGTTTTTCTTGATAAATTATTGAAATTCTCTTCCTCTCTGACTCGTTCATGAAATACGCATGTGTGAGACGTCTAAGTTCGTATTTCGTTATGAAATAATTTTCACCAGTCAATTACAGAAAGAGAGAATGAATGAAGTTTACAAATTTATTACATGTGCATAGTTCTACACTTCATTTCGATAAACCAATAGGACAAAATTTGGATAATTCAAAGACTGACATAGAGCATTTCCAATGAAGAAAAACAAAATTTTTTTTATCAAATCATTTCAGCTTTATATAAAGACTGCAAAGAACTATATGATATGGGTAGAAGAAAGTCAGGGGTCTACAGTATCTATCCTTTGGACTTGCTCCATCAGGTGAAATCAGTACAAGTGTACTGTGATATGGATACAGCTGGGGGAGGGTGGACTGTAAGTAAAGAAAGTGATAATTAAACATTGCAGATACGTTGATCACATTGAATAAAGTGTGAGTTAAAAAGACCCATAATGATTAGCATAATTTACAGAAATATTTCTTAAATCTCTATTCAGTCTGACTTTTTCAGTGGAAATTTGAGTATTCAAAGTAGACAAATACTTCAAAAAATTTACTTCTACATTTTATGAATTCAACACACGAATTTGGATTAATTGTTATATGAAATATATAAAATATAGGTAATACAAAATAGAGTTGATGGCAAGGTGAATTTCAGCAGAAGTTGGCAAGGCTATAAGGTTGGATTTGGGGATGTGTCGACGAGCTACTGGATAGGTGATATACTTTCTTAATGAATCTTAATTTTGATATAATTATGTGTATGAATGCAGTCTACTCTAAGCACGGTCTCAGTTAACATTTTTCAAGAAAATTATTTAATGTTTAGATCATAATTGCATTTGAATTTAGATAAATTCAAAATTGATATTTTGTAAATAGAGAGCTTTTAATTATCATCAAGAAATCTTTATATATATTATTTTTCTTCAAATAAATAAAAAAAATGTAACAGGGAATGACGTCATACATGAGCTGACAAAGGATAACAGCAGTTTGCTGTATGTAAGCATTACAGGCAAGGACGGCACCACCCACTATATTCAGTATGACACATTCTCTATAGCCGGAGAAGATGACGATTACAGATTGTATATCGCTGGAAACGCATTTGGAACATTAGGTCTGAAGAGGCATTTTTGTTTTATTTCTAAAAATGAGATCCTTGAAAATATTAAGAATTTGAATCCTTTTCTTATATATGTATTTCATAATACATGTATATGATAAACATTCTGTCAACTTTCTCGAGTGATAAAAAAATGAAAAAGAAAGAAAATACTGTCGACTAGAAAAATTAAAGTAATTAAAGTAATTCAGTCAATAAGTTTCATTTCAAACTATATTTATGTTGTAAGCTGGAAACCAAATATCGAAATATTAGATATTAATCATGTATATACAAATTTTTTTCAAAGTTATTTCGATAATATGATGACGGTGCGACCGTTAGGGCGAGCGCAGATATTTATCCAGTGTTCATTTAGATCGGGCTCGTCAAACCGCACGTGATATCCGACTCGTCTAAGACTCTGACGTCATATGACGTCGTATGCAAGTTGCATTATCAAACCGAGGCCTGAACAGGGCTGATTTTAAATGAAGAACCGTTTTATAGACTATTTTTTTGCATCAAATTCATTAAATCTAGGCAAGTTTATTATCCGTTTAATTTTTTCTTCTTATTCTCGCGAGAACGTTGCTTTAGCATTGTGTACGAAGCGATGCATTATGGGTCCAAATTACTGCGTCAAAAATTCTATCGAATGAAGGTGCAGTAGTCCGAATTTTCTCTTTGCCCAGGCGTTGCTTTAAGTGCTCGCAGTGACGAGCTTCAAGACGCTTGCTGCGCTCGCTATAACCAGTAAGACTTTTTTTCCAAATCTTCAGTGTTAATATAACTTATCAAAACTTACAATATATCAAAATTTCTTTTTTACATAAATTATACAGACGATAGAATACGATACCGTTCAGGGGGAGACAACATAAACGGGATGAAGTTTTCTACGTATGACAAAGACAATGACCTCTCATCAAATCATTGCACAGATACGATGGGTATAGGAGGATGGTGGTTCAACAAGTGCAACGATGCCTACCTGAACGGCCAGTATCCACCTGGAAAGTGGAGTCAACCTTGGCATGGTACATTTGATGATGGATCAAAGATTTCCAGTACAAAGATGATGATTAAGAGAAAATGATTGAGTATTCTTTTAAGTATAGAGAGAATCAAGAAAATTGTTGAGCATAATATTTCTCTAATTGAAACACTAGTCTGTATAAATGATTTTTTAAAAAATAATGTATGAAATCGCATTAGTGCAAGCATCTTGTGAAGCAAAATTATTAAAAAACATTAGTTCGTATATATGAGGTTGGTGAATAGATCATTTAAAAAAAATCGTTTTAACATGCTTATTGAATTTGTTATAATTGATAAAGAAAATTGTAACAACACTGTAAAATCAAAAACTTTCTTGGATACAGTTTTGTTAAGTCTGAGGAAAAAAAATGTTATGTGGGGATTTGATCTCTTGGTTTGAGAAATGTTGAGTAATTTTGCATATTAAAATTTACATTTCGTGGGTCTCTCCATGCCTTGAAAACAACTAAAGTTAAATTCACACGAAAATAAGTGATTTTACAACATATTAATTTGTTGAAACTAATTCCAAAATTTATTATATCGAATTTAATTTGTTTGAACAAGTTCTAAAGAATTTTATGCAAGGAAAATGTTTACATGTGTTTAGCACATGTAAAACACACACAAAGGGCGCACATGTATATTGTTTTTATTTTTACCCATGTTGATGCTTTGTACTGTTTGTATGGACTTTTGATTTTAAATTTATTTCTTTATTTCCTCATATGAAAATCAACAACTCGTTGTATCAGATTTGAATATATTTTTATTAGGTCTTAAATAGGCTACACTTAATAGATTAAGAATACTTTTTATAGCTATTTTGGAATTTGTTTTCACAAGTTTATTAATTCGTTTACAAAAATGAAATTCATTATAAGGAAGTAAACAAATTACCTGTAAATATGGAGAATATCATTATGATACCAAGTATATTTAAAAAACATTCGTAAATTAATGAAAATAATAATATTCTATTTAAATTGAAGTTAAAAATAATTTTGAAAGTCGCTTTCTGTACGATCGATTAATATCCAATAATATATTTTGCTTATGGATATTATCCAGTAGATGTCATATATGACCATAAGATTTCAAAAAGTGTTAACTAAAGATAAAAATTTAAGTGAAATGGTTGACTTGTTAAATGCATGGAATTATTGAAAATGAATGAGATCGACCAATATCGTTGGGAAAAGTTAAAAAAAAAAAAAAACAACAACAACAAAATCTGCATAACTGGGTAATATCACTGTTGTTAATTTAATAACATGTACTTCGGTTACATAAAATTATATTATGTAGAACAAATTTAATGTTTGAATTTCTTATTTCTATCATATCACGTCTAAAACCATAATTTACCATATGAGAAAAATCGAAACTAAAATTTACCTTAGTGATAACTTTGACATTTTGGTAAACATTCTGTCTCTTGTGATAACTTTTAAAATTTTGATTAACATCAGATAATGTGACAAAGTTATAACATTTATTTTATTTATTAAGGCGAGTATCGCGCTCACTTTTGAAATCCTATTTTTCCCGATTATTTGAATCAAGTGAGAATGATTCTAGCATTTTGTAAAGGCTTATGTCGAACTCTCTTTTGTAATCTTATTCCTGACTGACGTATTCTTAAAATCAACTCAATCTACAATCTGGGTATAAATACACAGGTTCGATTAAAAAAATTCCTTGTCCCATCAGACATTTTCAAGGTCACGACACCTCGTGGTCGTGCTGTCCATATAAGTATTTGCTTTTGTAATACTTCTCTTTTTCATAACTCATGTTATTTTTTTATTTTCTATTTATTTGACGTTATGTTTTGTCTACTGGGTAAAATAATTTATGTATAGTTTTTCTAGACACTTATGCCATTACCGTTTATTTGCTGTTAAATAAAGATATAAAATATTAATGTGAACCTGTTTTCAGAATTCTGCTGGGTTATATTTATATTAATAAACTGGAGTAAATTATACATGTTATAGTTAACTTGAGTTCACTTAATTATTTTCATTAGAATAATCTGTGTGCAGATACTCACTTCCATTCCGATCTTAGGATATACTTTCGAGGCGAGGACCATCAAACATCTCTCTCTCTCTCTCTCTCTCTCTCTCTCTCTCTCTCTCTCAATTCTTTGTTTTTATTTGTAAATGTGTATATGTATATGTTATCTTCATCCCATTTAACCTATCAATAAACCTGAAAAATACACGTTATTAGTCTAGACATGTGAATGAGAGCATGTGTTCTATTTAAGCATCTATCTTCAATTCATGACGAAACAATCAAGTGACTATGCAATTATACAAATAACATGTATTTTCAAGGCAAGTAACCATACTTTATTCAGTTTAGAGTGGGATATTATACAGTTAAAGTATATCATTGAGGGAGTTAGCAAGACTCCAGTTCCCCAAGACCAGGACTATTTCACGAGGCGCAGTCCTGGTTGAGGGGAACTGGAATCTTGCTAACTCCTCAATGATATACTTTAACTGTTTTATTATACCGATACAAATTTAAATTGTTAAGATAACATTTTTTTTTTAAATTTAATTTACAGATAAACTAATCATTATTCTCATAGCTAAGTAAAATCACAATATATATTTATTGAAAAACTAGAGGATTACGGATAACCGCGAATTAGCATAACTAGCTTTCAAGGGAAGGATTAGCTCAAAAAAAAAAAACTAACGCACGAGGATTAGTATGACTAGCTTTCGAAGGAGGGATAAGCTAAAAAAAACTAACGCAAGAGGATTAGTTTGACTAGCTTTCGAAGGAGGGATAAGCTCAAAAAAACTAACGCACGAGGATTAGTATGACTAGCTTTCGAAGGAGGGATAAGCTCAAAAAAACTAACGCACGAGGATAAGTATGACTAGCTTTCGAAGGAGGGATAAGCTCAAAAAAACTAACGCACGAGGATTAGTATGACTAGCTTTCGAAGGAGGGATAAGCTAAAAAAAAAAAAAACTAACGCACGAGGATTAGCCGATTTACAGCGAATTCTAGGGACTGTTCACATCTAATCACTTTATAGAGTAAACAATCAGTAGAAGTATAATAATCTATGTTAACTTAATTATAATATTTATTTTTAATTATGATAGCTCTACAAAATAAATTAACTAGGAGAGGTGTCTTTTGGTGCCTTGCTAACTATTCGCATGATTCTTCATCGTATATTACTTTCCTCAACGAAAAAAAAAATCATTCTATTGCTAACTACAATCATGTTGTAAATTTTGAATTCACTAGGGGGAGGTAAATGCAAAATTTACAACATGATAACTGTAAATTTTGCATTTACCTCCCCCTAGTAAATTCAAAATTTACAACATGATACTACCGTAATAGTTTATTATAGCTAACTATACTTACTTTTGTATTAATGTTTTACAAGCGCTAATCAAAGTATTTTTTCTATGGATATCAGTTTGGTATAAATTACGTTTTCAAATTCATACATACACATTTTGCTATATTAAATGGAAATATTAAAATTAATTTACATATATTTTTTTTTTAATTTTACATCGTTGTTATCAATTTAAAGAGTTTCAGATTAATGTTACAAAGTAATTCAAAGCATCAAAATTTTCATTATAGGTAAGTTAACAATAGTTATCTTTAGTAAAGTATATTTAACTACAAGTATAGTAAATTTTTGCAAGGATAAACAGTGCTACGGACGTAAAAATACAAACACGTTTCCATTGCTTTGATCACTTCTTGCAAGTACAAACATGTACAGGCAATTTTTTTTGTATGAATATGAAATAGTAAATTTGCACGTGAAAATTTCAAAAATGTACTAGATAAAAATAGATGAAAAACACAGTTTGCACTTATACCGTACAATAAAATAGTCTATGTATTTTATTATAGGAATTTTTTTTAATCAAACAGTTTCACAATTTATTCTGGCCTTTAGTGACAGAATGTTAACATATAATATGAATATACAAGAATGCGTCAACTGATTATTTTTTTTAACGCAAACTTTTGAGACAGGGTTCCAAATTGTTCATATTCGACCACATATCATATTTTCTCAAAAAGAAAATGCTAAGTCAATTCTATAATTAAACTATAAATGTAGTAAAATTGCTGCTATTACAATTTTTGACTGGACAAGGCAAAATCTCAAAGGTTTGCCTTTTAGAATAGAAACAAACTATTCAAACACAAGGGATATTTAACCTCATAAAGGGTTAAAGTAAAGTTGCTTTTTACACGATATCATTAGTAGTATAAGACGCCTGGCCGGGGTGGTCAACTGAGTGCACTTTTGGGGCTGAGGGGATAGGTGGGTCAACAGAGTGCAGCCCCTGTGGGGGATAGGTGGGTCAAGGGAGTGCAGTCCCTGTGGGGGATAGGCGGGTCAAGGGGAGTGCAGATTAGGGGGTTCTAGGGATAGCTGGGTCAATTCAGTACATATGTTGCATCATCTTTTTGATATCTATTGCATCATCTTTATAGATCTATTGCATCATCTTTATATATCTATTGCATCATCTTTTAGATCTATTGCATCATCTTTTTAATACTTAT